TTCACCTAACTGGTCTAGACGACAATGACCACGTCTCAAGTTATATGTATATATATATATAGTAAATAGAAAGACACCTGTGACAAATTTCTCACGGATATTTTTTTAACGCGGGAATATAGCATTAGGGCTATCTTCAGATAAAATACTTTAATCAATACTATTACATAGTAATTCATTACAAATTATTCTATTTCCTAGCGATTAGACCAGCTAACACGCCAGATACTTTCTCCGTGTATACATCCGACTGGAAGTTAGGTTATTCGACCCTTCTGATTGCTTTTAACTTGGGACTGATACTTGTTTATTCAAGAGAACTAATCCAAATCGATTTATTAATGGCAGAGCATAAGCTGACATGCTTGATCTGGAATCCACTGTAATACCAGCGATACTACTAAGAGTTCATTCTGCATGACCTATGCATGCACACTAAATGGGAAAAGACTTCTCATTTTGGATCATAGCAAACTACCTGCAACATTTGACTACAAGATAGTAGCAATATTTGACGTGAACGACTATTACATCAACTGCTTGTGCTGGAACCATTATGGCAGCAAAATTTCCGAGTGTACAGGAAATGGATTTGTTTGTGTAAGTAATAGTGACATCGACCTGTTATCAATGTTGTTTTAAGCGCATTCGAATTGACGTATCTCGCCAAACTGAAAACCGGTTCAGTTTCATAAAAAATCTACCTCAAACTTAGGGTTGTCCAAATATGAAAATCAGTTAGCTTGATGTTTGGAATTATCTGCCATAAAGTATGACAGACATGCATGTAATGATTTAAGGTTACTGTCGTAAGTATATTGATCCCTGATACCTCACTGCCCACGCTCAGTGGCGGAAGTTTTGAAAATGATATATTTTTTGGATGTTGATGAATACAGCAATCAAGTCAGAAGATTCCATGAAAAGGCCAACCATTGCTCACAGTGAAGGCGTTGCGAAAAATAGCACACTAGACGTAGCACGTGTAAATATAAGATCTCTTATTCCAAGCTTTGATATGTATTTAGGCATTAGAGCAGAACCTCCATACTACAGCAACAACATAGATTTGGTTTACACCTGATTTTGGCAGACAAGAAAGAGGAGGTGGAGCATGTTTTTATATCCATACCAACATAAAATTTAAAGTCATAGATTGTAACAAAATTTCTTCGGATGGCATTAGATCTGCGGTTATCGCTAAAACTAAATAATGAGATCAGTGCGGTAGGTGTTATTTGACAACTCCTGCATTAAGTTTACTCCCTCGCCTTGAGAATAACTATCCTTCCATATGCATTACCCATGATGAAGTTATATTGACCTCACCGATAAGTTTTCGAATCCCAGTAAAAAAAATCTTACAATCCATGGCATTATTCAATCTCGTTCAAGTTACTGGTGAACCTTCAAGAATCACCAATAATTCAGCTACTATGATTGATGTAATTTTTGTATCAAATGCATTGGGTGTACACAAGAGTGGCACTATAGGTATGGGAAAATAACTGATCATAGATTATACTTCTGTGAATTGAAGATTGAAATTCCAGAATGCACTCCTAGCAAATTTTATTGTTGTGACCTTTCACACTTCAATTATGATGAATTTGCTGAGGATGCAACAGTCTTCCATCTTACTGAGAACAGTATCTTGCTGTATGACATACGTGCTCCGATGGAAATAACTACACCTCGTGAATTCTACAGGCCGTTCGTTATCTATATAATGAAATGTATAATATGACGGATTTGATGAAGGGCTTGTTGAAAATTTCATATTCTTAACGACCTGCAGAAGGAAGCATACAAAACCGTTGACCCGTGCCATCGAAACTACTTTCAAATTATCAGACTCTATGCGCAATGCCTTTCAAGAAAACGCAAGTTTCAAGAGGCAGCTGTCGTCTACATGAATGCTGGACTACATAAAGAGGCGATAGAAGAATATAGACTTGGTTTAGACTGGAGAGAGGTCATAAGGCTTATGACTGTATTGAAGTATGATGAATCTGTCAAGCGAGATGTGTTGGGGAAGATTGCGGATGACCTGGTAAAAGAGAAAAGGGTAGAGGAAGCTGTGATAGTGTTGGAATCCCATAATAAAGATTATAAGAAGACGATCAAGACTTTGATGGACTTCAAGTCCTTCAGGCACGCCATATGCCTAGCAGTATCACTGGGTCTTGATTTAGAACTGCCTACTATTGCCGACGGTTTGAGCAAATATCTAGGCGACCTAAAACTGTTGTCGTTCAAGGATCAGTTTGAACGGTACAGAAGGCGTCTGAAGATCGCAAGAAAGGAACAGATGAACAGGTTCGAGCTAGACGCATTGGGCATCTACAATCGAAATACGGAATAAGAACTCTCAGACATTGCTAGCACTAGTTCCTCCATGCCATCGACTAGCTCTGGACGAACTAACTCCACCACTTTGACAGCAAAGAACAGGCGTAAACATATCAAGGAACTGACCCCTAAGCTGATCAGATTGTGCAGTCCTCACTATAAACTGCATTTTTTCAAAAATGAAAGACAAAGTCCCGCTGCTTGGCTTAACCAATACAGTCTACTCCATCAATTGTAACAACTGCAACCAAATATACATAGGTTAGACCTCCAGATCTCTTAAAGGAAGGATTACATCACACAAAAGTGATGCGAGGCTTCATCCTGAAAGATGCGCTCTATCATCTCATGTTAACACAACAGGGCATTCTATGAATTACACAAGTACCAAAGTTCTTGATAAAGAAAAACACCTTTTCAAACGTTTATTCCTGGAAATTTCCCACATTTTCATGAATAACAACTGTATCAACAAAAAGACAGATGTTAAACAACTGAGTGTCATTTACTCATATTTGCTAAACTGCGAAAAATTGGAGAACCTACATATCTCCCCAAATTTCGACTCTTCACAACCATAAATAGAATCTGTGTTTTGGCCGATTCCACCAGTAAATTTCATTCCACTCAAAATATAATAATTCTCTTCTCACGATTTATTAATAATTGTTAATTTAAATTCCATTAATTAAAATATAGTTTATTCAACTGCCTCTGGTAGGTTTAACAATTTCTCACATAACATTCTGAAAATCACATCATCTGAAATGATTTCGCAACGTTTGGCACACGCCCACAATTCGTTCCATCTTTCAACACAGACATTGACAACCTTAGGCCTTCTGTCAAAGGGTTTCATCTCACTCACTATTCCATGACCACCATTTTGTGCAATCATCAGGTGGCTTCACGATGTAATGCTCTAATGTTTTTTAAATAATTTTAATCTGTTTGTAACTTGTTCTTGTCATATTTTATATAATTTTGACCATTGTAGCATCTATCCAGCTCTCACCATGTTACTGGACGTTCCCTCACCCTATACGTAAACAACAATTAGCAACATCCTCACATACTACTGTAAGTTGAGTCAATTTGAATTCATTTTACACTTTTGTTGCTACTGTTATCATTGTAATTGCAGCTCTCTGATGATGATGGCAAAGTCCATTGAAAGCTAGAGAGAATTAAAAAAGTATAAAGAGTCCTCTTTGCTTAAATTTTGTCGAAGTACCCAACAAATGGCGGAAGCTTTAATTTTTCACCTAACTGGTCTAGACGACAATGACCACGTCTCAAGTTATATATATATATATATATATAGTAAATAGAAAGACACCTATGACAAACTTCTCACGGATATTTTTTTAACGCGGGAATATAGCATTAGGGCTATCTTCGGATAAAAATACTTTAATCAATACTATTACATAGTAATTCATTACAAATTATTTTATTTCCTAGCGATTACACCAGCTAACACGCCAGATACTTTCTCCGTGTATACAGCCGACTGGAAGTTAGGTTATTCGACCCTTCTAATTGCTGTTAACTTGGGACTGATACTTGTTTATTCAAGAGAACTAATCCAAATCGATTTACTAATGGCAGAGCATAAGCTGACATGCTTGATCTGGAATCCACTGTAATACCAGCGATACTACTAAGAGTCCATTCTGCATGATCTATGCATGCACACTAAATGGGAAAAGACTTCTCATTTTGGATCATAGCAAACTACCTGCAACATTTGACTACAAGATAGTGGCAATATTGACGTGAACGACGATTACATCAACTGCTTGTGCTGGAACCATTATGGCAGCAAAATTTCCGAGTGTACAGGAAACGGATTTGTTTATGTAAGTAATAGTGACATCGACCTGTTATCAATGTTGTTTTAAGCGCATTCGAATTGACGTATCTCACCAAACTGAAGACCGGTTCAGTTTCATAAAAAATCTACCTCAAACTTAGGGTTGTCCAAATATAAAAATCAGTTAGCTTGATGTTTGGAATTATCTGCCATAAAGTATGACAGACATGCATATAATGATTTAAAGTTACTGTCGTAAGTATATTGATCCCTGATACCTCAATGCCCACGCTCAGTGGCGGAAGTCTTGAAAATGATATATTTTTTGGA